TGTATTCTTAAGTAATGAATTGAATGGGTAAGTCCTTTTAATTTTTCTCTTATTTATTTAATTTTTATTTTTAAAAGATTTTAATTTATTTATTCACAAGAGACATGGAGAGAGAGGCAGAGACACAGAATGAGGAGAAGCAGGGAACGGGACTTGATCCCAGACCCGGGATCACGACCTGAGCCAAAGGCAGATGCTCAACCACTGAGCCACTCACGTGCCCCTCTCCTTTCTTATATATTAAAAAAAGTAATGTGGTTTAGTTGATTTTTTTTTTTTACTTGACTGGCTCTTTAAGGATGGGAAGGACCTTGGCTTGACTTGTTGCCACTTAAGAAAATGTCACAGCGGTTGAGAACTAATTTCATCAGGAAACATTCTGAGCTTCAGTTAAAATGTAAAATGCTTTCCTTTGCCCCAGGATAAAATGAAATTTCATTTGCTTTTACTTTTCTGCAATAATGCCAATAAGGAGATATTGCCAGGGGCGATAGGGAAGCCAGTTCTATAGCTGAACAAATCGATGGGAAATCTACTTGCCAAATCCTGAGCATACCCACTGAACAAGCGTTAAGAACACACACACACACACACACACACACACACCACCCCTACTGCATTATCCAGGGTAAGGATAAGATTTCCCTAAATTAACTTAATGTTCTGCTGCTAGGGTTCTCAAAATCTCAAACTCCTCACACACACAGTGGGTTTGTGTGTGCAGTGTGAACTGAAAACACAGAGCCTCTTAATAACAACAGCATATACTGAGTGTTAGCATTATTGCACAATGACTATGTGTCTAACTATGCACTAAGCTCTTTAATCCTAGAAGCTGGTTCCCTTTCTATCCTCATTTTTCTTTTTAAGGTTATTTATTTATTTATTTGAGAGAGAGAGAGAGAGATTGAGAGAGAGAGAGAGAGATTGAGAAAGAGAGAGCACAAATGGAGGCAAGGGCAGAGGGAGAAGCAGATTCGCTGCTGAGCAGGGAGCCCAACACGGGGCTGGATCCTAGGAACCCGGGATCATGACCTGAGCCGAAGTCAGACACTTAACCAACTGAGCCCCCCAGGCACCCTTTACTCCTTTTTTCAGATGAGGAAATTAAGGCACAAGGGAGGTAAATCAATTGCCTGAGGTCTCACAGCTGATGAACTGCTGCCTGATTCCAGAGCCCATTCTTTTTGCTTGTATGCTGTACTGCCTCTTGCTCTCTATCCAAATCAAAGATAGGTTTCCAGAAAATGCTAAACAGAACTCTAAACCATGATGATGATGATGATGATGATGATGATGATGATAATTCTGCAGCCACTTATTATTACTGAGTCTTTAACTGTATACTTAAGCACTATGGTAGCCTTTTTGTACATTTTACTTCACTTAATCTTCATAATCTAGGGACTTGGATTTTATTGTCCTCACTTCATAGCAAAACTGAAGCTCAGAGAGCTCAAGTAATTTGTTTAAGGTCACAGAGCTAGTTAGTTATTGGCTGACTTGGGATTCAAACAGGTCTATAGCCAGTGCTCATTCCCTTGTCTGGCTTCCACACTCATACATGTTCCTGGTTTGGTAAGCAAAGGGAACTAGAATGTTGTTCTCAGCACTGTGATAGTCGTTATAAATCACATGATCATGAATTACCAGTAGGAAACTTGCTACCTTCCATGTCAGAGTGAAGTTGGGTATGTCATCACTTTAAAACATTTGAACATGGGTAAGACATGTGCGTTGCAACTTTAGAATATAGTATTTCCATTAAAATTAATCACTCTTTGGAATAGTGTTTGACTTTCGAATTAACTGCAAATGAATGGTAGAGTCAGAAAGGTAAAATAATGACTGAACTGGTTAGGAAACAGAAGAGAAAACGAAAGTCCTTAAATACATGGAGATTTCTCATCCCTTTATATTTCCAAGACAAGGAAGCAAAACTGCAAGTCCCAGAGGGGTGGGCTTTCTTCCTGTTGAGATTGGGGAATGTTTCCCTCCCTGTGTGGGGTGGGCATCCGCCCTGCAGTGTAGGAAGACCTAGAAACCCTTGCCCTGAGACCCTGAGCCACTGGCCCCAGGGTCTTCTCACAGAGGTTGCCTTTAACTTTGAGGATGAGGCTCTGGTTTAGAAAGGTTAAGTCATTCATTGCCCCAAGGTCTGAAATTAGAAACATGGAGAGCTTGAACCCTATCCTAGGCAGGTCTGTATTGTCAGGGCTCTTTGCTGGGTAATCCCAACTTGGTTTCCAAGTAGGAGAGAGAGGGAGGGGGGCAGAGAGAGAGACAGAGAGAGAGAGAGAATCTTAGCAATGGGGAGCAAGAATCAGGGCACCCCCACTGGTACCTCCTTTACAGCCCCACCTCCCAAAGTATCAGTGAGGTAAACGTGCTTTTTCAAACCCAGGTTTAGATTTTTAATGTTATTACTTCTGGGCAGACTTTCAAATGTAAAAAAATAGTTGATGTCAAGAACTCGAATGAAAGAATCTATAAATATATTAAGAGTTTTCTCTTTGTACCTTTTCTGGGAAAGCTCTGTGGAGATTTTTTAAGGAATTGAAAACAGGCTAGATAAAGAAATTCTAGTTTACACGGTTTTTTGAGCAAGGCTAATTATATTAACCTGATTCCAATGTAGTCTTATTTTTCTGGTACGGCATTAATACAAGCAAAAGGAACACATACACATACATGCACACAACACACAGCACACACACACACTAAATAATTTCTGCCCTTTTTTGGTGTAATTTGGCCACTTTATAAGTTTCACCCAAGGATCTTTGTGTCAAGAGGTGCAGAGCATGCACTTTTTTTCTGGGAAGATGATTGTGTTTATATTATAACACACACACACATACAGTGCTACAGGAACATGGCCAATTCATCTATTTTGGAAATGTGAGCGCCTTGGTCTTCTCTGGCACTAGGAGGGCATGATGCCATTGGATATGTTTCTAAAACTCTCAGACAAGACCTCATGAGTGGGCAATAGCGATTCCTCTGTGATGTAATTTTTTTTTCACTCGAGGAGGTTTGTGTACCATCCAATCAATACCATAGCACATTTTCTAAAACAAAAGAATTTGAAAATAAATTTGACTCTTATTCTATATATGCGGAGTGCCAATGAAGCTTTTCATCTGGAGCTCATTTTCCTGTGGGTACTTTTCATGGGCCAGGAGAGCTGGCCCTGGGATTGGACCCAGCAGAGGCCAAACAGAGCAAAAAGGCTGCAACTCTAGTCCCTGAGAAGGGGATGGATTTGTAACTGGCAAAATGACTGACCATTAAATCATTGGAAGAATAAACTGCTAATAATTCCTTCTCATCAATAAAGCATTTTCTCCATCACAAATTCTCAAGCGGTGGGGTAGAGTGGTACATTTTACTGGGACGCTGGAACAGAAAAATCAGAGGGAAATACACATGGGTGGTGGATAAGCTTTTTATCTTGAACTCTTCAAATTTACATCTCAAGGGCCAGCCGCCTGGCAGGAACAAATCGGGGTGTTCTATTTCGGGCATAACTCTAGGAAGCAGCTTCCAGGACCGACCTGATCTGAGTATGAGTTATAGATATTATAGCCAACTTTTCCTCCACGCCAAAACCCCGTCCCTCCAGAAATCTTAATAGGCTTTTGAGAGCCTCCATTTAGAGCCGGCTGCATAAAATGATCCTTTGATGAAAAGGGATTGGAACAAGGGTTAAAGCCGACATTGAAAGGTGACTGTGGAGGGCACGGTGTTCATACAACCGTCCTTTAATATGTGTGGTGTGCACCTGTGATAAGATGATTCATTACCTGGGGCTGCTCTTTGACAAGCTCCATCGTTCAGCCCTCGGGGTTCTGACGGGACAATCCTGCACCCGCCCAGGAAATATAACAAGGTCAGCTTTTTTTTTTCCCTGAGACGTAGATTGAGATGGTTTAGCTTATAATGCATCTCTGTTTACTCTTTATGTAAAATAAAAACAGGGTTCAAGGCGTCGCAATGCCTGTTCTCCACGGAGCAGGCCAAGCAGGGATGCGGGAACTCACTGCTGAGTAAGGAGGTCTGGGAGGGAAAATCCTGGAGAAGCTGCAAGCTCTGTGTGCCTCGTGTTCCATCCTCAGCAATGGCCACATTGGAGGTCAAGGTGCCCTGGCCCTGAGGGGCTGTGTCAAGCCTTCGAGTGGAGGGTACTTCTGATTCCCTCGGGTTTTAATGCCGCTTTGCTTTTCACGCAGCTTTTCGCTTTCCTGGGGTCTTAAGCGGGGAGGCCCCCTCATCTGAAGCTTGGTCAGCATCCTGGGGACCTCAGGACCAGCATCCTCGTCACGACGAGGGCACAGGAGTGGTGTAAGGGAGCGGGCATGCTGCCCATGACATGAGGAAGGCTTGCGGGACCCCCCACAGGCTGAAGTAAACCTGCAGGTGTATAAGAACTGGCCGGGCTTCCAGAAGAATCTGCAAGAGGCCCTCATCCCTTCCCTGGGCTGCTCTTACAAGACTACACTGGTCCCTCCCATCACATCCCCACCCACTCAGAAATGGGCTTGCTTAGGGCTGCTTTAGAAATCTTACAGCGATTAGGGAAGGAAGATGACCAGTTTCCCCCATGGTCCAAGTTTCAAAAGAATGAATAAATAAAATAGCAAAATGGAAACATTTATTTTTAAAATTTACCTTTAAAAAAAAAAGCAAGCAAACAAACAAGCAAGCAAGCCCCTTCATGAAAAGTATTTCCTTCACTTAAGGTCAGAACACGAGCCATTGTACAGAAATGAAAACAAAATAAAACTTAGGCCTTCCAGGAGAAGGGGTAAAAAAAAATCTTGCTTCTAAAATATAGAAACACCTCCCAACCCCTCTCCTATTCTTGACATTGCTAGTAAACATTATTTATTCGCCTCGAATGGATGCGGTTACATATCACTGTCATGCAAAAGAAATTCATTTCCTTTCCGAGTTCAATCTGCCATAAAAATTCACTCTTGTTCCCATCTCCCACTCACCTGTCCTTGTGCATTAGTAACTAGTTGACCCGTGACCCCCTGAAGACTGGAGAGGGCATTGCCAAAGGCCTGTGAACTTGCTACGGAGCCCATGGCTACTGCTGCTGCAGCCTGACTTGCTAGTGGATTATTAACCAGCTGCAAAGAGAGAAAAGATTAGGGTGAAACCACCAAGAGAGGCATTGGCACAGCACACGGATACGACATTCACGTGGGGGAAGGGCCTTCTCCCTCCAACTGGCTCATGCAAAGGGCCCAGAACCCATGGGAGGGAGCCTGGCACACATGCCCTTGGAAGCTGCGGGCTCTTGGGATGGTTGGACCCGAGGCCAGGAAGAGAAAAGTCTCCCCCAACCCTGGGCTGCTTAGTGGAGCCCCAGGGGAGAGCGAGGTGGGTCCCGGGGGTTCGGTGGGCCGGTAGGGTCTTGCCAGATGGACCAGTGATTTTGGAGAAGTCCCTGGATTTTGTCCTCCAGCCTAAATAAAACTCTGGGGAAATGTCTCTTTTCCTTGAGGTGAGCGGACGGAATGGGGATTCAAATAGGTTGGGAGTAGGAGTAGAGGGGAGGACCAGATTTTAAGGATTTCTGCAAATGAATCCATCATTTTTATTTGTGAATTGAAGTTTCCTTTCGGGTGGTTGGATAAGGCAGATGCCTCGCCTCACTTTCTTCTCCAAGGAAGAAGAAAACCAAAGTTGGTAGAAATGGAAAGCTCCGGTCTCTGTGCTCTTAGAGGAGGAGTCTAGGGTTGGGACATTTGGGGGGTGGGGTATGGGCAGAGGGGGGCTCACGCCGATCACGGCATTCAAGGCCAATGAGGAAGGTCCTTTGGTGAATGGCCAGGTGGACATCTCTCTGTTTGCTGTTTAACTAATATGTGGCCTTCCCTTGGTCTCTTTCCTAGGACAAAAGTGAAATCTGGAGGAGAATTTGACTTGGGTAGAGGGAACCTAGTCAAGGAGGAGGTTATAGCTGCCAAAACCTGTTTTTCCATGGAGACCAATTCAATATTCTTTATCCTGCCAATTTTCCACGCCACAGGTTTTCAGGCCTTCTGACCACGAGGCAGGAGAGTAGCTTGAACTAAAATCTGCATTTAGGTTAATGACTAGATATAAATTCAAGAAACATTTAAACTATTTTCACAGTATTGGTTTTGATACATGAATTTCATTTGTATTTATTCTAGGGTGTTATTTTTTCCCATATAGTTCCTCTCAAGTACAACGATTGTTGTGTATAATAATGCATTTTTCCATCACCAGTTTCCACATCCATGAAATTCCTGCATTTTAGCAAAAGCCTGCCAAGACTAAGACTTGGTGGGAAAAAAAATTAATGCCAGAATGTTCCCGGAAGCTCTTCTTCTACTTTCTTTACATTCTCCATTCTCTTCTTTCTCTTCCTCCTTCCCTCTTTCTTTCCCTCCAAATATATCTGATAGCTTCATTCCTTTGGAAATTTGCCTAGAGTTTTATAACATCTGATGAGGACAGGAATGCTAATTGTCAGAGGAAACACCAAAAGGGAGAGGAATTTAGTACTTTTTTTTTCATTAACGTGATATCCTTATCTCTTTGGTTTCTTTTTTCATCTACAACCAAATTTCACGTAACTAGTTCTACAGAAATCCCATTGACCCAGCATATTTTTTTTTAAGAAGCGAAAATCCATCTTGGACTCATTACTTTATGTGTCTTTTGCCTTTATCTCTCTCTCCTAAAAGACAGGAATGATTTTCCTTTTTAAAGGAGAAAAAAAAATTCTCATTCATCAGCCTCAAAGAAACCCTGTCTTATTCCAGATTACCACCGTGGGATTTAAATTTCAGGTTGGCCCTGGTCTTGTTTTTTTATTTTTATAGTGTAGATGAAGCAAATAGTGGCGGATGGTCAGTGAAAACTCTCCCTGCTTTGTGGTTGACTATCTTAGGTGAAAGAGTTTGTATTGTGTGCCTTTTTTTTCACTATTGAAATGAGGAGATCTTTGGGAATACCTCCCCTAAACTGCCAGGACAGATGCTGCCTATCGGCACACCGTCTCAGCCCACGTGCCAGCTGCTGCGTTTACACTTCTTTTATGTAATACAAGTTAAAACCACAATGGAAACCCCCCCCCCCACCTCAGGTTCACAGAGATCCCAAAATAAACTTCGTAATCTCAAAGAAAACAAAATTGTGTACAGTTTGGTGCTAGTGTTGAATATGCGAAATTTGTCCACGAATTTTGAGTAAAAAAATTTAAATCAGCACGTGCAGAATGTTTTCTGAAAAAGATAGACAGTGATTCCCATTTAATGAAGTGAAAATATTTTCAGAAGTTGTAAGACATTTCCCTAACATCTAGGTCAATCAAAAGTTCAAATGGCTAATTACTGATTTACTCTGGATATAGTGGTATACTGGAGAAATCCTTACATTTAGGACGGGAGTGTATTGTTCAGCTATAGGGCCCATTTATATGTTGTAGGTTGCATTATATAAAGGATAAACTATGGTTCTGAATATGAAACAAAATAGCTACCTAAGAGCAGACTCTAAGCCTTCCTGTTACCAGGCCAGGAACAGGTATACTTGTACTGCTCTGGAAAGTTGCTGAAGCAACCACAAATGTACAGATTTTATTGATTTTTCATGTTTATTTCCTCGATATCCTTGTCCTAGCTTCTTCCCTTTGCTGCCTTTCCTTCTTCATGGAATAAATGCCACCTCAATGACTCATTATTTCCCTAGGTCTTTGGGAAAGGCATGGGGGGCTCTGGGGAGATGCCTCTCTGGCTCCTGAAAGTAGGGCTAGAACTTAAGGCGAGGGGTTGTGGTACACACAGACATGGGTACGAGTCAATCTGCGCACTGACAGCATTTCAGGTGGACCATTGGTGGTGGTGATGGATGCAGCTTCACAAATATCTTTGGGCTTTTCTGTCTGTGACTGCCAAGGCAGGGATGTAATATGCATCGAGATATGTGGCAGGGAGGGGGAGGGAATGGTCGGGAAACCATAAGTGTTCCCTTCATCACCTCGGGTCATGTCACTCTGTATTGTCCCCAGTCATGTCATATTAGCAGTGTTCCTATCAGTACTTCTTGATTGGAGACTCAGGGTAGATTTCGACAGCGAGGAGTCCGGGCACAATAAATGTACATAATGAGCATGTTGACATTCTGGGACCGATTGGATATTTTGAAGTTGCTGCCAAGTTTACGCCTTCAGATCCTTCATTGCCAATATACCTAAGTAGCAAAGGATGGCCCAAATGAAGTCTGATTGTATTACATACTTGCATTTTCGACGCCAAACTCAAAAGATGCTGAATTCTGGTGCAGGCTTGTTTGTAAATGTGGAAGCTCCCCAAGCAAGGATTTGCAGAGCCCTAGAGTTCTCACATTATCTCCATATGGATTCTGGGCCTTGAATACATCAAGCTATCATTCTATAATTCACAGATAGTCTAAAAACCTCCTAATGGAAAGACTAATTTCTTAAGATGATCCCCTGCCTTCCCCCAATTTTAGAGAACATAACGGAATAATTTTTAAAAATAACTTTGTACCAGTTAAGGAAGCCTCCAGAGCCCTGTCTGTCCATGGGGGAGGGCATTGGCTCTGAAACCAGACTGTCTTTGCTTATGAGTTTAAGTAAATCATGCTTCATTGTCTCATGGATCAAATGAGTGTAAAGATGGTACAATCCACACAGTTGTGATGAGGATGAAATATTTGGCATATATCATGTATATAAATGCTAGTTATCATTCTCACAGTTCGTATTGTGCATGAGGATTTTTTACTCATCCTTATTTCAGAATTAGAACTCACCTTTACAAGTATCTTCTCTCTTTGGAAGTAATGTAGATACAGGCAACTATATTCTCTATTTTGATATTTTAACTGTATTCTCCAATGTTATTTGACTTATTTTTAAAGAGTAGCTTGAAGGAAGCTACTAGCTAGATAACATGATTATTAGGTGAGGCGAGTTTCATGACTTAAAAGACATATGAGCCACTTAAAAATATTTCAGACTGGAGGACATCAAAAAGAACTCTGAAAACTTGGCTTTCCCTACTTATCTCGGGCTTCTCATAGTTGGTTATTTATGGAGAAATCTATGGAGAAAGCAGTGTTTTGACGCCAAGGCCAGGGTTGGTCATGACAGACCAGAGAAAGGAGATCTCCTTTCTACCATGTTATCCTTGTAAGGACACCCTTTTTGGAGTTTAATTCCTGCCTCATCTCAAAACATGGTGAATGAATCTATCCCATGCTTGCTGATTTGAGAGTGAATGCATGCAGGAAGACTTGTATAAACTTTTCCTTAGAATTCACAATGGTTTATTTCTATACCCACATACCAAGATGGATAGCGGGTGCTCATATCATAATGAGAAAAAAATCCATATTCCCATATCTACAGTGCTTTGTGCACATCTTTGTTATCTGGGAACACCAAATGGTGATGAGAAGAAAAACTCTGATAGAGTCTCTTTCAGGAGCACTGGATGATGTCATATGTATGACACCATATAAATGTCACCATAAATTATGTCACTACATGAAGGAAGGGCCTTTCTCCAGTACTTGCCCCATCTTCTCTTTCTCTGAAAGACTCATAACCTACAGCCTGGTAAAGAATTCAGGTTTCTTGAATCTGAGCACTAGCAGTCACAATACTTTTCATGAGAAATCACTGATTACAACATTCTATTATTATGAATCTTAACTATGAAAATATGGCAGCATGATGAGGCAACTTACCTATGGTGTTCTATTCTATGTCTATGCCTTTTCCAAGAGGGACTTGTGAATGCAGCAGGCTCAAAACCTTTCTTTGGAGCATAATTGCCCATGATCTATAGTTTTATCATTTTCCTCATGAGCTATGTGGATTTCATAGAGTATGGATTTTGGAGCAGCTCTTTTTGCTACTAACTTTTCAATTTAAAACACTAAAATGGTGGCACCATTTGTTTTTAAATTAGGATGTTCATAAATGCATTCATCACAGTTCACTCCCATGTAAGGTCCGAATGACTTGCAGTGGCTGCCTAGACATAAGAGGGCAAATGTAGCTTCCCTAGTTCATTTACGTGCATTAGGTCCTTGACTTTCTTATACTGTAGATGTGAAAGATGTG